GTATTTGGAGAGCGCAATTTACGTAAATTTCAGCAGATGAATTTCAATTGAACTCAAAGAGTGCATATATACTTAAGTGCATTCAAAAATGCAATAAAATTTATGAATGCACATCTGTAGACATGAAAGCATTTGAAGACTTTTTCTGAAAAAAAATCACCGAGACCTATATGAGCGTTTTTATTACGCTCAGTGGCTCTTGAAAATTATCAAAAAGTTATGATGAAGTCTAGGCTCCCGCAATTGATCAAAAATCGACGACAGGGAACAAAGCTGGTTAAAAAGTAAACAAATATTGAAAATTGTTCATGAAAATAAAAGAAAAAACTTTTTCAATTTCCAAAGTTCCAAGAAAAAATGACTCGCCTTAAAGCTTCTGAATTTTAAGAATCTTGGAAAGGTCGTTCATAATGTCAATACAAATAACCAGTCCAATTAAAAAACTGTCTTATCTACATATCTATCTATCTATCTCTCTATCTCTCTATCTATCCATCTATCTATCTATCTATCTATCTATCTATCTATCTATCTATCTATCTACCTATCTATCTATCTATCTATCTATCTATCTATCTATCTATCTATCTTTCTTTCTTTCTTTCCTATCTATCTTCCTATCTATCTTCCTATCTATCTTCCTATCTATCTTCCTATCTATCTTCCTATCTATCTTCCTATCTTTCTTTCCTATCTATCTTCCTATCTATCTTTCTTTCTTTCCTATCTATCTTCCTATCTATCTTCCAAAGGTCGTTCATAATGTCAATACAAATAACCAGTCCAATTAAAAAACTGTCTTATCTACATATCTATCTATCTATCTCTCTATCTATCTATCTATCTATCTATCTATCTACCTATCTATCTACCTATCTATCTATCTATCTATCTATCTTTCTTTCTTTCTTTCTTTCCTATCTATCTTCCTATCTATCTTCCTATCTATCTTCCTATCTACCTATCTATCTATCTTCATATCTATATATCTATATATATCTATCTATCTATCTATCTATCTATCTATCTATCTATCTATCTATCTATCTATCTATCTATATCTATCTTTCTATCTTTCTATCTATCTATCTATCTATCTATCTATCTATCTATCTATCTATCTATATATCTATCTATCTATCTATCTATCTATCTATCTATCTATCTATCTATCTATCCATCGATCCATCTGTCCATTTATCCAAATTTGCAATTTTGATGAAACAAAATTCATAAAAAGCTAAGTTGCAGAACAGTATAATGATTTGAATATGTAGTGTATAAAAGCGAAGACGAAACGTACCACAAAAACCAAATTGGCGACTAGAAGCAATTGATTAGGTTAATAATTGAAATAACCGATCAAAATACAAAGTCAACAGATCTAACGGTTCGAATGTATTTTAAACGCATTGGATGATTTCTGTATCAATTTCCAAAATCTAAGTTGATGAAAATGAGCAAATTTTGAGAGTCGCTACCTATGTTATCGCTCTCCACTTTAATCAAACAGTTTTTCAAACCAAGCATTTTTTTCATCCAAAAAACAAGGGTCATGTCACTTCATAAAGCAGATGGCAGACACAAGGTAAATTACTGCTGCCTAATTTCTCTGCAAATCAACTGTAGCAGAAACTTCGAAAATGTATCAACAAACTTATAACTTTTGAAAAAAAACAATCTAACTTATTGTAAGCAATTCGAGTTCCAAAAAGTATTGAGCCGCTAGCTGCCCTAACGAAAGATTTATCATTCAAATCTGGTTTAATTCATGCGAGGCTGTAAGTTGTGTCCAGTTCTTCTCTTTTTATTCATTAAAATCTTGCACTCAGAATTTTTGAATATACTAAGCAAGATTTTAATGAATAAAAAGAGAAGAACTGGACACAACTTACAGCCTCGCATGAATTAAACCAGATTTGAATGATAAATCTTTCGATAATATAAATGATATATTAAATTTGATTTTTTATCCACATTACACCTCAAAAATTACACGATGATCGATGAGCAATGTTTTGAAGATTATTAGGAATTATCTGTATTTGGTGTTAATTTTTTCGACTAACCAAGGATGGGTATTTAGCAAAACTGAGTACAGCTCATTAAGGCTTGAACTGCATGCACTCAGAATTTTTGAATATACTAAGCATGCAGTTCAAGCCTTAATGAGCTGTACTCAGTTTTGCTAAATACCCATCCTTGGTTAGTCGAAAAAATTAACACCAAATACAGATAATTCCTAATAATCTTCAAAACATTGCTCATCGATCATCGTGTAATTTTTGAGGTGTAATGTGGATAAAAAATCAAATTTAATATATCATATTGTTATTTCCAAAAGATGAAATTTGTAACCCGACCGGTATTGATTAATACTAGCGTGTAACTTTTTTTATTCAAGTTTTTTTGATTGAAAAGTTGAAAAACCATAAAATTTTTAATATCTAAGCTCTTTGAAAAATTTTCAAGTGAACAAAGAAACATTACATCAAGGGAATAAACAAATGAGCAGTCGCATTCGGAGACAAGATTTGCAACTCCTAATAATACTTTCAGAGTATCCAGCTACAGGGTTGGGAATTTCAAATTTTGAGAAACTTGAATTGCCAATCATTTTTTTTTTGAAAAAAAAAAACCAGAAAAACGTCATATCTCGGAAACTACCAAGATTTGAGTAGTCATAGTCGGAAGCAAGATTCGCAACTCCTGAGAGTACTCAGGCAGCCCCCAACAACAGGGGGTAGGATTTTGAATTTGAGTTAAAAAAAAATCAAATTTAAGTTTTCTGAAAAAATCACAAAGAAAAGAACGTCATATCTGGATAACTACGAGGATTTGAGCAGTCACATCTGCAGGCAAGATTTGCAACATCTGAGACGCTGAGAGTACTCTGACAGCCCCCAATTACATAGCTGGTAATTTCAAATTTTGAAAGAAAATTTAAATTGAGTTTTCTAAAAAAAAATTTGAAAAAATCACAAAATCATCGTGTCTGGTACACTTAAAGGATGTGGGCATTCATAAAGGGAGCCGAATTCGCAACCTATGGTGGAACCCTGACAGAACCCACAAGTGGGCTGCTCATTTTAAGATCGGTGAAATAAAGACTGAATTGAAACTGGAAAATCGAAAAAAGTTCTTAACCGTTGCATTATTCGGTATAGCTTAAGAGTGAAAAAAATCTTTCGTTAAACATGCAAACATATCAGGTTGAAAAAACTTTAGCGTGGCGAGATAGTGAAGCCCGCATTTAAGTATATAAAAGATAGCTTATGAATTCAAATGAAATCAAAATCAAGCGATGTTATTTCCAAAATGATACAAATTGTAACGCGGTCAGTATTGATTACGGGTTTTACGAATTTAGACAAGCAAATTACACGATCAAAAAATAACGGAATATAAAGAATAATTTGTTTACAGACATAATTTTTTTTTTGGCTGAATAAATACTGGTTGTCCAATGTAGACAATAACTTGCTAGCAAATTGCGTTAAACATATTTTCAGACTTAAATTAAATTTTGGCCGGGTAAATACTGGTTGTCCAGAAATTCCGTTTCTTTACGGTCGTCTAATTTCTTGCCGTCTAATTTTATAGGCCCCATTGATAACAGATAATGAAATAAACAAAAAATCAATGGTTTGCTTGTTTTATGGCTATTGATCTAATTCAAGTTTGACGTTTAATTTCTTTGCAAACGAGGCAGATCAAAATGATTAACTTTACTCGGAAAATTGACAGCATGTCAGATGAATTTAAGAAAAAAAACTTTGTGGGTTCATGAACTGTTTGTTTATGATCTGGTCAATTTTTCGTTCGATCAATCACAAATAGCATTTTTCTTATGTTTTGAATCCATTTTTGCGGGAAGTAAAATGGATTATGATACCCAAGATCTTCGTCAAAGCTTTTGAAAGTCCAGCGCTTCCGAAAAACTAAATCTACATGGCTGTAGAAATGGTTGTGTTGTTGCGCTACTGTTTATATTTTTGTTTTTAAATACTTAGGTGAACCAGTTAAGTTTTTGGTATTAAACTATGTTTGAGCAGAGGCTCTCAGTAGGAAATTTCACATGCTGCATAAATTTGTATTTAATTTGAGTGCGGTATTAACCTTGAGTACTAAGCCTGGAAATGAGGTGAAGATAGTTTTGAGTTGGCGATAGTTTGGACTTGGTGTTTCTATTGTGGTAAGTGCTGGATAGCTCATATCGGCGTTGTTATTCCTAAAATATCTATGCTAGGAAGGACATGTTTCGTCAGGTCAATTTCGAATTTATGAACATATTTGACGGACGCGTTTGATTTCATCTAAAAGAACTGGATTTTCTGAAAAATCTTGGAGGTAATTTTTCAGCTAGCAATCATTTTTCGTTAAGTTGAGGGGGTTAGAGAAATGCTAGTTGGAGTTGAATGATGACAACTATACTTCTAGTATCGCTATATAAACGCTATAATGCTTAAGCAGCGAAGGCGCCCGACTCAGATATAAATCGAAGTTGGTTTTAGGCCAGCTAATTGTACGGAATAACGCAATACTGCACGAAACAACATTTTCTACTTGATCATTTCAAAAACTAAAATCAAAAACCCAAAAACTAAATTGGAAAAATCTTAAATCGAAAACTAAAAAATCCAAAATTTATTTAGATAAGCTAAAGTCGCTGCATTATTAGGCTCTGCCTTATTAGCAGTAGATTTGTTTGCTTCTCCAATCAATTGAAACTAATTGCAATACGGATATTTGCTGTGACAATTCAACTGATTGCTCCTGAAACAACCATTTTTAAATTCTAAACCAATTTGTTTGAAAACACCCATGCCGACAAATAAAACATTTTGAATTCTAAAAATTCAAATCCACTCTTGAAACGAAACGAAAAACTTGCACCATTCCAATTCCGTTTTCGGAGAGTAGAGTTTCCTCGATTTGGCAACTGAATGTAACCTTTGCCGCTCAGTAGATGTAGGACTCAAATATAGTTCTATACTAACTTTTAACGACATAAGGAATGGAAACAGCCTCTCACTGAGAAAGCCTTCATTGAATGACGACGACTGATTTCCACCCGCTGATCCAGCTCCGTTTGCTGCAAGGCCACATTGAAAGGCTCCAGATGTCCCGTTATTTCCGGATCCATTGTAGTTGTTTATGCTTTCATCTCTATACATCGAATCACATCCGTACATGAACACGTTTTGGCGTGTACTATGCCCGTGCATGTCAATGTAAAGAGTAACTTCACATCGTTGTGCAAGACGATCCATCATGCTTTTGGTGGCCCAAATAGTTGGAAAATAGTCTTTTTTCGGCTTCCTGTAATTCCTATTGAGGTCCTTTCCAAATAAGGAACATCTGTAATTGCCCACTATCACCCCGTCTGGGTTCAACATCGGGACTACTTTGAAGATGAACTTGTCCCGCAGCATCTAAACAAAATCTTTATTTTAACAACTGCTATTATTGCAGTTGTAACTATCGTGTTAAAATAAAAATAATCATTACCCTTTTAGAAGTATACCCTTCTCTGTTCGGACCCTTGATTTGATAAACTACAGGCAGCACAGAGAAGAAAAAAACAGCTAGAAATAATAAATTTTCCTATATAAAAACCATTTAATACAAGATAACACCAAGCAAGCTATCAAGCGATGAAACACAAATCTTTGAAAAAATTCCAGATGTTTCCAATCAAAAAATGTTAATGTATACTTGATCGCTTTCATTTGAGTTTAATTGAGTCGCAATAAAAAAAATGCGAAGCTCTGCAGTTAGGTTTTGACTATTTCACAGCAAAAAAGGAAGAGGTTGTTGTATTGAATTTGCTTGATTAAGACAAGTAAATATTTACGAACAAGTTCAGACGAAAACTTGACGTGAGTCTAGCCTGAAAGTTGATCTTGTTTGGAGACCAAACTTTTAAAAATGTGTGGATTATTGCGCCCGTAACAATTGAAAACGACTGACAATAATTTAAAACATAGCCAAGTGAAAGTTGGAAAAGAGTAATGAACGCAAGGAAAGTAAAAAAAAACGATTTGTTTTTTCAAAAATCTTCAATCTTTGAATTTCGAAGCTTTTTGAATTTAAAGAACAATTTATGATGGACACTTTTATGTTAAAATTAACCCAATTTGAGAAAACTGGATCAATAGGTAAAACTTTTGTTTCGCTGGGAAATCTGATAATTAACTTCCATTTTCGAAATAGGAAGTCGATCACGTTTTTCGGGACTTTTACAATTTTGCTGTTCGATAGTGGAGTTTGCCTTCCTTTTAACAACAGAAATGCTATGAACCTTAAAAAAATCAAAAGGCAAACCGCGAAAAATCATTCGCTTAGAAGTCTGAAAAACTTCCAACTTCCTTTTGATTATTTCATTCGCATAACAGTCTACATGAATGGAAATCTTTCAAGCAAAATTTTATGCAATATCCATTTCACGATTTAGTGAAATCAGCACCATTTAGTGAAATATTTATGACTTTTAGTGAAATCAGCATCCAAAATTCTCATTACGATTGCCCGTTTGCTGGAAATTTTAAGTATCTGAATCTGCACTTCGAAAAATACTGCGACCAGTTTTTATCAACACTGAAAAAAAATTTTGAAAATCATCCGAATACAAATTTCGTTTCACTACAAAATTTTCGTAACACTATCTAGTTGGTAGAAAACATACATCAAGTATCCTGACACTTGAGGACGAAGAGACCAACAGATCTTCCAGCCTTATGCATATCACACCGGTTTATTAATAATGAAAGCATAGTCAACCGACAATTGGAAAAAGTCATCAACCCAAGGAAATAGGAAAAAAAAATTCAAATTTCAAACCAAAAAGATGGTCTTAAAGCTCTTCAAAATTCCAGAACAAATTATGATTGAAAAGTTTCTGGATAAAATTGATTCAATTTGTGAAAACTGGATCAATATATAAATATTTAATTCGCTGAGAAATCTGAAAATTAAAACACACTTTCGAAAGTAGAAGTCAATCACGCTTTTTGTCAACTTTACAATTTTGATGTTTGCTAGTGGAGTTTGACGTCTTTTCAACAAAAGAAATGGAGTGAACTTAAAAAAAATCGAAAGTCAAATACAAAAAAAATATACGTTCATGACTCTTAGCCAACAAAAATAGGAGAACGGAACACAAAACATAGGCAGCAGACAATTGAACAAGAGTTAGTTCGGGTATGAGAAAAAGAACGACTGATTGATTACGGACAATCAGCAAGCGGTTTCAACTCTGAAGCTTAACAGCAGAACTTCCACGGAACAAAGAAGGTTCAAATTTTTAAACTCTACTTGTTCGCGTTGCTTTTTATTGAACTGCTTGAGTTGCAGAAATGAAAATTCGAAGTATCGGCAACCTTTAGCGACTTAATGATCAAAAAACGTTATTTTTTGGTTATAAGGGTTTTCGACACGGTTTTTTACGTGCTCAAATGAGGTTAAATTAATTTTCGGTGTCAAAAGGAGCAGTTTTAGTTTATTTAACTTCTTTTGAGTTAAATGACCTAAAAGGATATGGTCAACAATTTGACATTAACTATAAAAACTAGTTGAAAAAATCCAAGAGGATCAAAAGAAGCCGTCATTCAATTGAAAACGTGTGGTCATGGAAATAGTCAATAGCGAAATTTATATATAAGCATTCGAGTCGAACGAAACTTTAAAGCGAAAAAAAAACGTTCAATTAGCAAACTTAACAAATTACGAAATGTTGGTGACAGATAAACAAGAGCAGCCGTGGTAGACAGAGTTAGACGCGTGTCCTTTAACACAAAGGACGTGAGTTCGAATCCCGCTTAGGTCATTGTTGGAGGGGTCTTAGTGTCATCCACCTCCTCAAGGTGGGACCGGCTGCGGAAAAAACTGATGGCATTTCTCTCCGCCACGGAATAAAAAATCCAATGTTGAAAGGAGGGAGCTGGGCCGTGGGTTAATAAAAAAACAAACAATAGGCTGAGACTCACTAACACAGGCCTTGGCCAGATTTGAACATTTAGCCGTTCCAGGCGTACTCGTTACCTCTAGACCAAATGTGCCGAAGAGCCAAGAAATTGGTTTTTTCAAACCAACTAAGCTAGCAAATGATTCAAAAGATTTGGTTCAAATATTTGTTAAATTTAAAAAGTCTATATTCCGATTTGTTAACGCTTGATATTTATCAGAGAACTCGGTTCGAAAAGAAAAAGCAACTCAATTTTTTTTCGAATACTCGCATTGATTAGCACAAAACATATTGGATCCAGCTTAGCTTATGAGATAAATATTTACACCACACATCACGATTGCCATTTGAAAAGTCAAATTGTTAAATTAAATTAACATAACTTACGCTACAACTCAATATATCATGACCTATTAATAATTTATGTTAATATTATGGTTACAATGAGCTAAAACTTGAAAGTTATATTACATAAAAAGAAGACTCTTTCTACCAAAGAATTAGTCATGCTAAATTCACTGCGAAGTTTCACTATAAAGTGCCTATTTTTGGATGGACCAGAAAAACAGGGGAAAAATTTACTAATATTGAATATTCATAGAAGTCTGCTAGGCTGTTACTACAGAGACATACACGCTTTTAATGGATTTCAAAAAGGCTTCAGAATAGGCAAATTGCCTCTGATATTCATTTAGGTCATTAAAAATCAATTTGTAAGTTAAGTGGCGTTTTCGTAAGCTATCAAGGGTCTTAATGAAGGCATCTGAAACTCATTCGTTGCGACACCAGGACAAAATTAGCATTGCAAGCTGGGCACCTCCAGGCAGCGTTTTCGTACGCTACGGAGGGTCTCAATGGAGGCATCTGAAACTCATTCGCTGCGACACCAGACAAAATTAGCATTACAAGCTCGCTGACAGAAAATGAACCACAAGTGGCTAAGAGATACAAAAAAAATCCAAATCGCCCGCGTCTAATTAGTATTGAGAAACATTTATCGAACGGAAACTCAGCCAAAAAAAATAGAGTAAACGCCTGTTGAGTCAAAAACAAAACTAGTGTCATAAAAACTTACGAGGTTTAAAGTTCTGATATTCGTAAAGCTTACGCCCCCTCTAGAAACACAAAAATAAAGAATGCTGTTTTTTCCTTTCAAAACTACGCAACAATATGCCAATAAGCCGATATAACATAAGCCGAAACCATATAGGCTGAATATGCTCTTAAGCAAAAAAAATGAGAAATTACAGAGTCAGGGGTTATTAAATTTGCAAAATACAGGAATAAATCAAAAACACTTTCAATTACAATGAAATTGCTTATGGCACTTGATGTGGCAGAAAAATCCTTGATGCGACAACGGAGCCGACAAAACATAGACAGAAAGACGATGGGTCAACAGATTTTTTAAACCGGAAATTTTCAGTTGTATTCGACCTTAGAACATTTGCCGTCCCAAGCGTGGTCGATACCTCTAGCCCAATTGTGCCGGATTTCGAATTTATTACAAATCAAGCTAACACATGATTCGAATAATTTTGCCAGACAAGTTGTTAACCTGGAAAAAAATACATAAATTCCGATTTGTTAATGCTTGCTTCTCGCAAGTGTAATCTTCTTTAAGTTGCTCAATATTAAACAGCCTGTCCACACAACTTTTCTGAAAACTGTCTATTTATCGAAAGCTCTTTCCGTCCTTTTTAAGACCCTCATCAGCAGCCCAGAGTACTTAAAATAAATAAGGTGGGTGGGCTATAATTTTCTCGTTACCAGGCTTAGTGCCCATAATGGGAAAGACTTCACTTTAATTTTAACTTAAGTAAATTTTTTTAAAAAATAGATTAATTGACCAACATTGTGAAAACGACTGAGATAAAAAATGATTTTTGGTCATTTATCGTCTAATGGACATGATAAAACCCTAAATTTATCCCAAATGAAAGAAAACTACACTTATCGCGGAAATCAAATAAGACCACAAACACATTTTTCCGCCAATATTACCCCATTCGCTTCAATCTTTTACTTTCACCATTCTTTGGTTGCATTTTTTCATTAATCAGTCATGTTCAGCCTTTTTCTTTTCAAAACCAATATATTTTAAGACAGTCTTCCCTGTAATTATATTGTTTTTAATAAGCTCGATGGTCGAATTTGAAGACGAAATGAGTCGCTCCACCCAGCTTATTTTAGGTTATAAAGGAAAACATTTTTCACTCTTCTGAACAAGAGAAGGATTGCAGAACAAGACAAGGTGATTGAGTAACAAGCTATCAACAAAATGCTAATCAAAGCAGATTAAGGAACGGAAACGGCATTGAAGTCTGCCCGCGGAATATTCATTTTGAATAAATCTGTGCTTAAATTATATTGAAACTATATAATTGGACCCACAGCACCCAATTTATTTCAGCGTTGAACTTGATATATCATACATGCCTTAACTATAGACTATATATATGTCCAGAA